GCTCCTTACGGTAAGAATCTTGGTTCTTCTTGGTCACCTCTTGCTCAGTCAGTAACAGCATCATTAAACAATACATCAATGAAGTAAAATATCTTTTGATATCTTCATGCTTTTCTCCTCCGTGCTCACACAGGTACGTCATCTGAGAGTGGCTACAGCAGCCCCGTGGTGGCTGTAATCGTCTGCATTGTCATCCTAGCTATTATCCTCGTCGCCATGGCTGTTTACTTTGCCTTGTACATCAGACGGAGAAAACCAATCGTCCAGTAATACCCTCTGACTGAAAGTGGAGTTTCTTTACCTATCTCCCAAACTGCCAGTTAATTCATCATCTACAAAGCATGGCCATAATGATGCAGAGATGGTACAACAAGAAACAATAGTCACACACAGTGTCATACTACTATTTCCCATATCACACACAACATTATAACAATGTGGTCAGCAGTAATCTAGGCTTGAAACGTTATAATCATTATCAATCACATAGTTAATTAATGTGGAGATAAAGGCACAGAATCTGTACTATAATTGTGTATTATAAATAGGTGTTAGTATTAGTCATGTTGTCAGAGTCATGTTGAAGTATTTAATAATGTTCTTTTGTAATCAATTAGAAATTATGTACTTTTAAATGTTTTCAGTAAGTGATAAAAAAAGTACTGAACTGCTTTGTTCTGTGATAAACACACCATTAAACAAAACATTAAAATGTTGACCTCTCTTTATTGTACAGCTAAACTACTGAATCAGTAGATAGGTTATTATGTTGTGGATGTGTTGAAATTTTACATTTCCATAATTTCCATGTTGAGGCACTAAACCGACTTGGTTAAGATTAAAAAAAGATGATATTTTAGCTTTAAATTCTCCATTTTGGTGCCACAGTTACAGCTGGAAAAGCAGCCAGTTCATCTTTGACCAGTGGTCTTCAGCTTGGCAGCCATCTTGGCTGGCTGTCACGATGTCCACCATCCCCTTCACCCCCTTATGACATAGTCAGCTCACATACATGTAATCAAAACCACGCCACTTTAGAAAGGCTGATATGACACGTATGAAATTAATGTAACATATCTGTGGTTTGCAAATGTACAATACCAACATGTTCTTCTGGCGACTGGGCTGCGTTTGCTGTACTCCCTTGCTGGTTTTGGTGGATTTCTTTGAAATATATTAAAATATATAATAATTGTTGGTGGCTGATAACTTTAGAGACGAGACGAGTGTTTGTCAGCCTGAGTATCTCCCAAAAGCTCCAGGTTATGTACGTATGTATTATTTACTTTTTTGTCATTTGATTAGTTACAAATTTGTCATGCACAACAAAAACTGAAATTGTAAGGGCCTAAGGTGTTGGCCTGTCATGATAATTATGTGATTGACTTGTCAAGGTCAGCAAAAATGATTGAGGTCATTTCCATATATCGTATGATATTGCTGTTGTTGCTTGTGGCTAACATAATGCCAGAATAAACAGGAGCATTTTCCTGACCATTAGCCTCATAAGCATAAGCCTTTTTTTTCACTGTGCCTAAACCGAATGAATAGACAATTTTTTTTAATTATTATTTTTTAAATAAATAAAACAATGCTGCAACACATTTTGCTGCCATTTCTGGTCAGGTTAAAAGTTTGTTGCCCATTGAAAGAGTGTTTTTGCATTATCATACTCATTATATTATCATTATATCTTAAAATGACAGTGTTATTGTTTGTCAGTTATCCCTGGGAAAATATATCATCCAACAAAAAGTTATTGTGACAGGTCTACTGTGGTGGCTCTTGTTTTTCCCCAATCTCATGCCCCGTGTCAAGCCTTGTGTCAAAAAGCTATATTAAAGTTTTAAGACCTTTATTATTAATAAGCTTTAGTACATCTTTGATATAATCTTTAACATTTCAGATAATATAAACTTTCCATGGTGCATCTATAAACCTACTATAACTGATTTTTTGGCCACTTGGGGGCAGCGTTAACGAGTTATGAACATTGACTTAGGACCTTTTTAGCAAACAGCGGCTCATTTACCCATCCAGCAGTTATGGATCAACATTATCACTTATTTGGTGTCAAGTTTCTGGTCACCTGATCAGTGTAAGTCCAGTACTGATTCTGTTTTAGCTCTTTTTTGGTCTCCACCAACTCCTGAGGAAAATACAGAAGCCTACCTATCTCTTAAACTGCTAAATACTAAATAAATTCACCAGCTATTCCCTAACTGTGTCTGTCTGCTACCTTGTTAAAAAATATCTATTAACACATTATTTAGATGATGCATTTGCTATTTTGAGGAACTTCCACGTGAGTATTTTCTGTTACTTTAAACTTCTACTCCACTACAATTCATAGGGAAATACTGCACTTCTTATTCCACCTCCACCACATTAATTCAATGCCTTTAGTCACTAGTTATATTGCTATGATCATCAAGTATTGTTGGTGGTAAATAGGCTACTAATCTAGAAAAGTATGAAAAAATCTGAAATGTGGGAGTGTGTGTGTTTAGAGAATTAATAAAACTAAACCAAACCTGCCCTGTAAAGCTGCCTGAAATGTACCTAAACCCAAACAGATCACACCTCACGTTTATTTATTTTATTTCTCCTCTCATTGCTTCTCTCTCCAACTTCTCCTTGTCTTCTTTTTTAATGTTTTTTTTTCAAATTATTATTTTTTTTTTAAATTTATATTTTTTCTTTACATGCTGTCACCTGTTACTTATCTGCGTCCCATTCTGTTTTGTGAATCAACATCTGTACAATGTAATGACACTCCCAGCGGCCTCAGCTGTTTGTGCTAATTAGCAAATGTTAGCATGCTGACATGCTAAGCTAAGATGGTAAAAATGGTAAACACTATACCTGCTAAACATATGCATGTTAGCATACAGACATTAGCATTGAGTTGAAAGCAGCACTGTGCCTGAATACAACCTCACAGAGCTGCTAGCAGGGCTGCAGACTGTATAAACCTAAATGCAGGCTATTTGTAAAACAGTATACTTGTTTAACTCTATGTTGCTGCAAATATCGCATATCAGCTGTCATAACTGACTTAGACTTTAGGCCAGGGGTGTCCTAACTTTTCTTAATGGGGGCCAGATAATGTGAAAATACCTGGGGGCCAGCTGCTTCTCACGTCATATGTGTAATTAAAAAAAAAAAAAAAAAAAAATCTCAAACAAGTGACAAATGCAACTGTTTCATCTTTCAGTTAAAAAGTATTCAACTTTTCACAGATCTTGAAAGCAGTGGCCCTCACTGTCAACTTTATGCTTTTTTTGCTGTGAATATATCTGCTACCAAGTAGTAAATGTTTGCTGTTAGGTAACTGTTTGTTTGCTTGTTTACTGTCTCTTTAGGAAAACACATTAGTTCGCCTCCATAGTTCCTACTTGATGCATGTCTAACTGCTTGATAGTCCTGTTTGATAGTCCTGCCAAACTGTTTGATAGTCCTGCCATTGTGAGGTGGAAGGAAAAAATGCAAAGAGATCTTGCTTGATAAACCAATAGTGTGTGCTGGACCACATACCACATAGCCTGGTGCAGTGGTTCCCAACTGGTGGGTCACGGGTCCATTCTGAATGGACAGCAAGTGACATGCAAATGTGTCAAGTTTGTAAAAAACTCAATTCATTTTTGCCCTTTCCTGCTGTGAAGTAAGTGAATAACAGACAGCTACTTAACAGAGACAGCAAACTACCTTGACAATGTGGCCAAATTCAAGTATGATACTAAATATATTAAACTTTGTGGACCTTGAACTAATGACTAAGGAGCAATCTGTACCATGTGGCTGGACCAGTTGGGAATCACTGGCAAAGTGTATTCTGAACAACAAGCCAAGGGCCATTTAAAATGGATCCACAGGTCATGATTGGACCCTGGGCCAGACTTTGGACATACCTGTTTCAGGCCCATATAAAATGAACCTTCAGTATTTGCGCTGAGAATGAAAGTCAGAAGTTTCAGTGTCTTGTGACCTTATAAATTTTAGAGACAAACCAAAAAGATCACAGCCTTTTCAAAACAAAGGCCACATTTTATAAATGGAGTAAGAATCTCTTGACAAAAGTGTCCCAGTTACATCACCCCCACCTTGGGGCATTTTGATTTATTCAATATACCAATGCATTTCAGTTAATTACTATTACAGTTTGTATCAAAAATCCCAACCTACTGGGGATGCTGCACCCAGTATTGAAATAGCCTCTTTATGTTCACACAGAAAAATATCAATGGGCATTTTCCTGCATTCATTTTATGACAGGGGCACCACTGTTGAGGAAGTTTTGCATGCTTTGTTTGTGATGCCCAGCTAATGTTACTCTTTTGTCTGACAAGTTTCCTCTTACAGCTTTTTGTTATTAGGTCCCCAGTATAAATGGAGAGATTTACAAACAGATGGCCAGACACGAAATGAAGGCACACAGGTGAGTCCCTCCATTAACTTCAATAATCATTGTATTCAATTTTCAATGCAGTATAAATACCAAATAATAATGTAAAACAATATTTACAGACCCAATGTTGTTTCTTAAATCATGGGGAGTTAATGCCACTTTTAACTATTATTATTTTAGCAGAATTATCTGATAAGTTTTCAGTGTCTAGTTTGCGTCATAGGCTGTGCAGTTTAGGGTTTATGTGGTAAAATAAAGATGTGCAACTCAGTTTGCCATCAGTGATTCAATGATAATAGTAAACTGATACAAAGTTACACTTTTTTTCTGATTGATGAAAAGATGTATGATCATGCATGAATCATTACCAAAAACCAGTCAGAAATATGCTTTTCATTTCTTTCCATAATAGTCAAGCAATGAGTGACTCTGCCATAGCTATTATTTCTGCCAGTGATGTCCTAATGTAGGTTGATCTGTGGTGTAAGATGACATTTTTAAAGAAGTTTTCTTTCAGAGTATTCTTGAAAAAAAAAAGACTGCCTTGCTTCCTATTGTTTTGCTGTTTTCTCACAGGTCCACGGTCAGAACAATGAGGCTGGTCATCCTTGTGTGCCAGCTTGGCCTCATTCTGAGGACCAAGGCCCAGATACCAGATGCTTGCATTCTTAGCGATACAAACAGAGCTCCAGGTTTGTGGCAATTACTTTGATATTTGTTATTTTCACTCTTCCATTTACACCTTTTTTTATATCCCTCCAGAAAACTCAGACATAACTGTGTTGTGTGGCACTGAGTATATGGACCTGAGCATCTATCTTTGCCCGGTGTACCAAGCTCTCTACAATGAGTCTCTGATGGTCCTCAATAATCAGTTTAACCAGCCTGAGTGTTTTGGGACTGCTGACTGGAGCGTGGACCCACCAGTCTTAAAATTCAGATTCCCCTTGAATGAAAGCTCCATCTCATCCTGCAATAATAACTTCAAGGTATTTGTCACAAGAGCTTAAACAACTTTCTTCAAAGTTTTCTTTAACTGAGGGACTTAGTCCAACAGGTTTATTGGAAGATAATGCTATGAAAGTCATTGTATGTTGAATTCCTGCATCAAAGAATTAAAGTGATTTCAGTGAAATATATATTTCTTTTTCAATAGATAATCAACCAAGTTGGAACTGGATTCTTTTCTGACTTCTCAAACGTCCAGTTTGTTAACATCTCCGGCACTATTACCTCTGTAGACCCCTCTGCGGGTATGATCACCTATCGCCCACAGATCCTGTACAAGTTCTCCTGCTTCTACCCGATGCAATATCTCCTGAACAACACTCAACTGGCCGTGTGAGTGTATCATGAATAACAAGATGCGCAGGAAATAAGCTGGACTGAGCTACATTTTGATTAATGCAAGTTTCTTTTCATCCAATACAGGTCAGGTGTGAGTCTTGCCATAAGAGACAACAATGGTAGCTTCATCAGCACAATGAGTATGCAGCTCTATCAAGTAAGACCTGCTCTCACTTTTAACGTTAGACTGAGAGTATTTTTTTGACATTTCATAATTTGATTTTACTCTTACTTTTCTGTGGAACAGGATGACAAGTATGAAGATATACTTATTATCCCACGAACAGGACTACTGCCGAAGACCAGGATTTATGTTGCAGTTAAAGCTACCAATCTAACAGACAGGTATTGAAGGGAATAGTTTGACATATCAGGAAATATGCTCATCCAAGTTACTGCCAAGTGTTGGATGAAAAGATACCACACTCCAATGTTTTCTCATGAAATGGTTCCTATATTATCTGAACCCTAACCCTAACCCTTAAAATTAGAGCCCCATAAATGGCGTTGTGCACTTAATATAAATTTCCATAGGTTAGGCTTACATTGAAATAATTGAAAGTTCCCTTGCTTTCACACGGGACACAAACACCAGTCTCTTAGGGAAAAGTCTTACGTTTTTTTGACCCATCCACCACTCCAACCTGCCTCACTACACTGACTTTAAGGCTTTATACAACTTCTTTCTTTATTCCCGTTAGCACATTGGTCATGTGATCACAGCTTTCCTGATTACACGGGTTATATAAGAATTGTAGTACGTTGGGGCGTCGGTGGCTTGGTGGTGGAGCGGGAGCCCCATGTGCGGGGCTGTTGCCGCGGCGGCCCGGGTTCAACTCCGGCCTGTGGCCCTTTGCTGCATGTCACTCCCTCTCTCTCCCCCCTTCATGCTCGTCTGTCCTATCAATTAGAGGCTTAGAAATGCCCGAAAAAATATCTTAAAAAAAAAAAAAAAAGAATTGTGGTACGTTACTTGTCATAGCTATCGTACAATGAGTGTACGAGCACAGTCTGCATTCTCATGTGCTAGATAGAAAGCTACAGCTAGCAGCTTGTTAGCTTGGCTTAGCATTAAGACTGGAAACAAGGGAAAACAGCTGGCTCAGTTTGTACGGGCAAAAAGAAATCAACCTACCAACACCTATAAAGGAGAGTGGTTTCAGTCTTCTCATCACATTGTACTAGTCCATACCCATTGAGTGCACAGTTGCCCACGTATGGTTTCACATGGTGTGTGTTTGGGATACAGGTCATAGGAAATTGCAGATTAAATAGTCAACTAACCCCTTAAGAAGAGCAATGTATTCAGACAGAGTTTTTGAAAAACGTGGGACAGACAAAATGACTGACTGACAGAATGACACACTGACAGTTTCCGTGATTATGTACAGCATACCATACCATGACTTAGTCATACCAAAAATTAGAAAATCCCCCCCCCCAAAACATTTGGCCACGGGGGGAGCCACAGCAATCGGTTGCATTTTAGCCATTTTTAAGTATTTTTCTGTTGTTATAGCGCCACCCAGTTGCCAATTAGAGTTAAATTTCTCCAGTCACCTTGAGGCGTCCTGTTCTACATATCTACCAAGTTTAGTAAAAATCGACATGGCGGTTAGGCCTAGATAAGAAATTAGCTCTCTAGCGCCCCCATTTTGTTTGATTGGGTCAATAATGGAGGGGTCCCCTCAGATTATGTGTGGTCATATGCCTACAAAGTTGTGTGGTGATCGGTGAAACCCTTGAGATGTTATACACCTTTATGTGATGAGCCACACCCTCCACAATAATCATTGCCTTATAGAAGCTCAGTTTTAGTAAGTTTTCCAACTTTTGCCAAGAGGGAACTTTAGATATTGGTCCCTAGATTATGTTCCCTGAGTTTCATGCAGATCAGTCAAACTTCCTAGGAAGAGATCAATTTTAAGTGTTTTTCAAAAAATTCAAAATGGTGGAAAATCTATATAATCAGAAGTTATGGGTTCTTGAGGCAAATTTTTTCCTCATGAGGAGAGGCATCTCTGTGCAAAGTTTCATGTCTCTACGACATACGGGGCATGAGATATGCCCATTCCAAGTTTGCAATTTCAATCGGTTGCCATAGCGCCCCCCTTTGGGCAATTGATGTAATATTGCTTCATTCACATCCTCCCATGACCCTCTACCACTGTGCCAAATTTCACATGGATTGACCAAGTCAGTGAGGAGAAAAACGTGGAACAGACACACACACACACACCCACAGACAGAGTTTTCGTCATTTATAGTAAGATGTGTATTTGCTAACTGATTGAACTTGTGCTGTCAGTAAGTTACATTAGCAAGAAAATGAAATTTAAAATCCACCTGTCTGTCCTTACAGGTTCAACGTTATGCTGGACAGATGCTATGCATCAACAAGTCCATATCCCATGCTCAACAAGTATTATGACCTCTTTGTCGGGTGAGTCTTTGACTTTGACACTCAGCCCCAGACTAGTCCTTTGTACTCCCACATGTGCAGTCACATTACCTGTCTCCTTTTCACCCAAGGTGTCAGCGTGACGCACAAACTAAGGTGGAGCTCAATGGGGAGTCTCAGGTGGCGTACTTCTCCTTTGAGACCTTCAGATTTGTGGAGCATGGAAATCTGACAGTTTCCACTTTCTACCTGCACTGCGTCACCAGGCTCTGTGAGGTGTCCTCGTGCAGCAGTTTAAAGCCTGTGAGTCACAAACAATCACGTCACACTCTCTAAGTCAGGCTTTAGCACTGAAATCACTGATTTTTGGATATTTCTAGAGCTAGTTTTTCAACAATTACTGGCACATGATCTAAATTTACATCCTTGTGACATCACATATAAAGCGATAACTTTGATGAGCCAAGTCTTGAGGCCAAAAGATAATGCCATTCTATGTGCTATGTATATCCTCCCGAGACCCAAACTTTTGTTTCATAAGCATTTTTAATTGTTTTGTTTTTACATTTTTAACGAAACATTGTCAGCGATGATAAAGTCCCAATGTATGGGGTGCTGTTTGTAAAGTGTCTCACGCTGAAAAATCAACATTTTGCCACATTTAGCTTCAAACAACTTTTTTGATTGACTTTTTGAAAAAGTGTTGTGAATTTTTTAACGTCACCTTTTACCACATTTATAGCAATATTTGTTAACTTAGAAATATATTAAATAGTTAAATCTAAATATTAAATGTGGCAATTAAATGTTAAATCTAAATATTAAATCTAAATCTAAATCTAAATATTAAATCTAAATCTAAATATTAAATCTAAATGCTAAACCTAAATCTAAATGTTAAATCTAAATGCTAAATATAAATCTAAATCTAAATGCTAAATCTAAATCTAAATGTTAAATCTTAATATTAAATCTAAATCTAAATGTTAAATCTAAATGCTAAATCTAAATCTAAATGTTAAATGTTAAATCTAAATGTTCTGGGTGAAACTAAATATTTAGCTAATATGCAAATTCACACTGCCGGTCACCGGAAGTACCAAAATAAAAGCTTGAGATGGTCAGACTGTGTTTATAGAATCAAGTAACGAATTAAAACCAACTTATCGGGGGAAATGAACAGCGTGATAATAACTACCTAAATTAACAAGAAACATGTTTGGAGAAATTTTATTTGATGTGTACTTTGAGTTGTTAGTGTCCCTTCAGAGGGAATCACCTTGTTGTTTACAAATACTTCTGGGTAGAAAACCAGCAGAGTTTAGCTACATATATATGAATATCTCACATTTTTCACGTCACTATATCACCGTTTAGACTAATCTGGTGTTTGTAAAGTCTATAAACACAATGATTGAACAAACATTACTATCAAGTTCTGAAAATAATAACATGGTTATCGTAGATTAGCAGGGCTAACCGTTAGCTGTTAGCCCCGTTAGCGGTGTCTGTAATGACTCATTAACTCTAAACGGTCCGTGAAAAAAATATTTTTTTCCAGCGGATGTCACGCTAATGTATGTTCAAGTGTTCATTTCCCCTGATAAGTTGGTTTTAATTCGTTATTTGATTCTATAAACACAGTCTGACCATCTCGAGCTTTTATTTTGGTACTTCCGGTGACCGGCAGTGTGAATTTGCATATTAGCTAAATATTTAGTTTCACCCAGAACATTTAGATTTAACATTAAACATTTAGATTTAGATTTAGATTTAATATTTAGATTTAGATTTAGATTTAATATTTAGATTTAACATTTAACATTTAGGTGCCACATTGATATTTATATTTAACTATTTAATATATTTCTAAGTTAACAAATATTGCTGTAAATGTGGTAAAAGATGATGTTAAAAAATTCACAACACTTTTTTAAACATTGTTTGAAGCTAAATGTGGCAAAATGTTGATGTTATTTTCAGCGTGAGACACTTGACAAACGGCACCCCATACAAATGTCCTCAAACGAGACAATAATTAAGTCCCAGTGTCTTCTGACAATACCTAATCAGTAAGTGTCTTAGCTTGTTGCTGTTGCTAAAATTGGTCAAATTTGTTGCCATTTCAAACTACAAACATTGTTGATCATAAATAAATAAGTTTCAACCATAAAATGTGATCAGGTTTTGAACCCACTTTTGTGTCAGGTTTGGCTGCAGACTGACTTGGCAGAAATGATTGCCATCTTGTTTTTACATGGGTTAGTGTATTGTGCTCTAACTACCACTAGATGGCACAAAAAAGTGTCCAAAAAGAGGACAACAGGCCTAAGTTAAGTAGAATGAAGTATAAGGTCAATGAACCCAAAATGTGACGTCGTCATATGAGGACACAGGGTCTCAGGAGGATATGCAGAGACATAAACTCGAATCATCATCTTGTTTTGTCCTGAGCAGGACTGTGGATCCATGGCCCGCATGTCAAAGAAAAAGGCCCAGTACATGTCAAACAACATTACAGTCACCTCGCCGCCCATCCTTGTGGGCAAACAGAGAACGGGTGTGACTGTCGGGCTGAAACCCACAGATATTCCCTCCTCCTATCAGACGAAGAAGAATTACAAATACAAAAGTAAGCAACATTTGGAAAATAAACAATATTACCTTATTTTATCTTGTATATCTTTCTTTATGAATTTACCATGTTTAAAGAAAAGGAGCAAAATATAAACCTTACAATTCCTAAGTTCTGCAGTAATTAACATTACCATTGACAAAACAGAGTCATATCAATTCTGACTAGTTTTTGGTTTATTTTTCCAGCTGACTCACAAGATTACACATTTTTTGATGGTAAGAATCTTCACTGAATGTGATGTTGTTATTGTGTTTATGCCTGTATGAGTGGTCTGGACAAATGGACGTAAGGAGTAGTGCAAAATGTCCTTATCTGCTTGACCTCTACAGTCAAGTAATGTCTTTTTCTTGTTTTAAGGGGAAATTGTTGGGGTGGCAAGGGCAGCTAGTCCCCGTTCATGAAAAAAGCAAGAAATTTCCAATGCACCCTCCTCTTAGAAACAGGGATGAAAAATAAAGGATCACAAAAATGGTAACATTTAATCCAGAGGGGCGGTGACTGTCCGTAAAACTTCAGAAGATCTTGAGATGTCACTGGAAAACAGAATACTAACTTTTTAGTACACTAGAAGAAGGTCAGGGTCATTAGAATTCATCCTAGGATGAACAGACATTCATGGCCAACAGAGCTCTGTTGGCCATGAATGTCTGTACAAAATTTCCCAGCAATCCTTTCAAGAGTTGTTGAGATATTTCAGTCTGAACCACTCGATGGATCAATAGAGTGACAGTGCCATCCATACCTAGAGCCATGCTGCAAGCATACAAAACAGAATTATGTTCTGTCACTACCAATCATGGTTTTGGTTCAATTCTCACATCCACAAAAGGTCATCATCTGCACAGAATGTGACATGTCTTTGTGTATGTGTGTGTACCTGCACGAGTGGGCTGGGACAAAGTTACTTACAGACAGTCAGCAGTTCTTATTTAAATATGCAACATTTAATAGAGAAAACATGCAACATCATAACATGAAAAGTCTTGATGCTTCTTGTCTTCCTTTCTCACACAGGTGCATTATCCCTGAGCTGCTACAGCAGCCCTGTGGTGGCTGTAATTGTTTGTAATGTCATCTTAACTCTTTGTTTCTCTGTCTGAAAGCCAATAAATCCCCAGAGAGACAGAGACATGTTGCAGACATAGTAAAACACGGGGAAAGTGGTAAGAATTATAGTATTGTAATACTGAAGAAACAACAAGATGGTCAGCAGTTATCTATCCTTACAATTCATAGGATTGCTTCACCAAAATTACAAAAAGAAAAACATGTTCTCTCATATTCTGTCTATCCATGTAGACAGCTTTTGTTTTATTTGCACAGGTTTTGAGATATCGGTCTCTGAGATTTTCAATTCCATTATAATAACTGAAATTTTGCTTGAAGTGCTCAAACACATAAAAGGTTATAAAACAGTTCTGAATGTAACTACTTTGTATTGATGAGATAGTGCATGTTCTATGTTGACTGTGAATTAGTGACGAAAAAAATGTGAATGAATCTGTGAATTATTTTTTAAATAAATGAATGATGATATTGTTTGAAATTGTGTTCTTTTAAACATGTGCGTAGAAAGTGAATTTATAGTTGGCACTGGTATTATAAGTAATAAATTATTAATTACATTTTCCAAATCACCCAGCGCTGTAAAGTAAAAAATATAGAAACAAGACGGAGAGTTGACAGTCAAGCTAGCAGGTCTTTGAGGATTCATTTGGACATAGCGGTGCTTTGTGCTAAATGCTAAAATCAACGTGCTCATACAGACAATGCTAATGGGCTGATTTTTTAGCAGGTATATTGTTAACCAGGTTCACCATATTAGCTAAGCATGTTAAGCATGTTAATATTCACAAATTAAGACAAAGTAAAGCTGAGACTAGTTTTGCAGGTATTGGGTCATAAACATTGGAGAAATTTAGTGAATTTAATAACCAGTCAATACCAGTATATTAATCAGAGAATCCACAGGTTAACCTCTAAACTACCACTGACAAAACACAGAAAACCTGAAAGTCATCATTGTTTAAAGGTCCAGGGTGAAGGATTTAGTGGCATCTAGCAGTGAGTTTGCAGAACAGAAACGTTTCCCATGTGCCAAGCGTGTAGGAGAACTACGGTGGCCGATGTGAAAATGCTATTGGCCCTGCCTAGAGACCCTGTTTGGTTTGTTATTCTGGGCTACTGTTAAAAAAACAACATGGCAGACTCCGTGGAAGAGGACCCGCTCCATATGTAAATATAAACAGCTCATTCTAAGGTAACAGAAACACAATGATTCTTATTTTCAGGTGATTATACCCTTATGAAAACATAATTGTAGCCATTATATACATTTCTGCCAACTGATGCCTCAAAAACCAACACACTGAACCTTTAATTTATTTAATCCCACTTTTAGTAAATAAAATTAAGTGCAACAGTTCATCAGGTCAGATATGCAGGTTAATTCAATTTCATTTATAGCAATACTGTCAAACAAAAGTTAGTATGAGAAGAGTGAGAAGCAACCGGTTATAAACATTTTTTTATTGTTTTGACAGTTTGCCATCCCATGTTGGTTCATTATAGCCTTACAAAAAGCTTTCTGAGATCATGTCTTGATAATTTGGCTCGAGATATTTAGGGAGTAAACAGAAATGTTGCACATTGGGAGCAACTCAAATTATTTAAGAACAAAATGGTGGACCTTCATCATACTGCGTGTAGTGTTAAAAGACATAAATCCAGATCCTGGTACAACTTTTTGTCCAGTAACATTCTTCTCTGAACACCCATAAAAGGCAAAAGCCAACACCAGCAGGTGTCTTTCTTTCTTCTCCTTTATTTCTTGAACAAAAGCTCAAAATTGTGCCAGTGTCTGGATAGCTCCACCATGTGATGGAAAATCAGTGTTAAACCTGTGGAGGTTTAAATTACAGCCACATGATTGATTCCTTTTTTTCACTTCAGTGTCCTGACTTTACTTTTCATCAGATTTGTGAAATTCTTTCAAAGCTTTAAAATGGTTCATTTACTGTGTTTATACCTCTCAGAAAATATAGTGTCTTTGCAGTTTGATATTCTGTGCCTTATTTGAAAGTAGTTTTTGAAGAGTTCAGCACTCTTAATGGGAGTATGTCTTCCACCCACTGATTTGGGGTGGCCATCATGCGCTCCCACAGGGCCGCCTCATGGGGAGTTGAGTCCATCCAGTCCACCAATGCTCCATAACTTTTGCCTACAGGGAGACATAGAGACACATACAAGCATTAACTAGAGTTCACAAAATATATGCAGTGAAGACTTTGAGGAAATTCAGTAAAAGTTGTTTTTTATATATTTTTTGTTGTAACATGGATGCTTCACACATCTTCAAAGAGGCAGCAGCAGAATATCTATACAGTCACCAAACTTTCAAGGTGGACACAGAAGATTAGTGTCATGAATTCGGTGTATGACCAAATGTCTCCATCTCTTTTTTTGAGCTATGATGTTGAATAATGGTCAGAAAAGTGATTTTGCAGAACGTTATGATGTCACAGTGATACTGACCTTTGACCTTTTGGATATAAAATGTTATCACCTCATCATTTTATCCTATTAGACATTTTCATGAAGATTCTTTCATTTGTTTTGAGAGCCATACTGTACATGGGCTGACACCCCAGTATATAGAGTGTGCCAGTAAACCCGGAACTCCGTTAGCGCTTTTAACACTTCAGGTTCTCTCATCTGGGATTTTGGTAAAAAGCCTCAAATAAGATCTGTGGTTAACAAAAGCTTAAGCGAGTTTCAGGTTTTGTTCTACGACATAAAACATGTCAGTAAATACCCTACTTGTGAATTTTGAAGCTCTTACGTGTCATAAAAAAGGCGGTTGCTAACAAGTTGCTCAATATGACTACAGACCCTGTCGGGGACATTAAACGTCATCACCCCCGAACAGGCAAGAGTGCTGGCAGTCCGCCATTACAGCTTCTTATTTAGCTTAAACAGTCCGATTTCCCCATTATACAATGTTTTTAAAATAAAGCGGCTGAAATCAGTTGAAAGCTTAGTGGCGGTGACGTCAAGAGTCATGCGACCGTGGAGTAGTCATGTAGTCCGTTAAAGCCTAACATAAGCTTTTTACTTCTGGCGATCGCATTTAAGCTTCAAATGCAGTATGAAAGGTGTTCATATGTGAAGATTATCTCGCTGAACAAAACCTGTAAGTATCATAAACTTGTGTTAGCCATAGAGCTTATTTTCTGACATAATCCAAAACGCAATGCAAAAATCACATTCACTTTCTTTTCCGAGAACCAGCGAGATGCTTAACTTCCGGGTTTTGACGTCAGCCCTGGCACACTCTATTGCTGAACTTCTCTGCCCCTACTCCAACTCCAGACCTCTTAGATCCTCAGAACAATGTCTTTAAACTGTCCCATGATCAGGGCTGGTGGGTGAGGGAGAGCTCTGGAATAGCCTTTGGTCAACTGGGTTGTTTTTAAATGTCCTATTTTAATAAACTTGATTTGATTTGATTTGAATTCTTAAGTTAATGCCAAAACATGTTTTTTAAGGTCAGAGTAACTTTGACCACCCAAATATAATCAGTTTGTCATTCAAGTGGACATTTGTGCCAAATTTGAAGAAATTCCCTGAAGGCATTCTTGAGATATTGCATTAACAAAAATAGGACATATGAATGAACGGACAGCCTAAAAACATAATGCCTCCAGCCATGGCTGTCGCCAGCATGGAGGGAGAAAAACACAAACATTATACTTCTCACATGGTTTCAATAAAGTGTTGGAGGCCCAGATAAGTCAAATTATCCAATATTTCACAAATAAATCAAAGATAACAGAAAAGCTTAAAAAAGAAATCAAATGTTTGTATCAGATCTTTGTTTTGTTTTTTCTTCTTTTCTCCCCCACAAAACATCTCATGACCCCTCAGATATGTGCTGGGACCCCTTTACTTTTGATGCTTCTGTTAAGTAAAATATTGTATGGATGACTTTGACTTGTAACATAATATTTCTATATTGTTGTATTACTGCAGCAAACAATTTAAAGATGTCATCCTGGGATTTAGGAAATGACAGACATTTTTCACTATTTGTGACAAATAGAAAACTCTCTCTCTATAGATATAAGTAAATATATAGCAGTAAATAATGATGAAGTGGATTAATCAGTGGCTCAGTGGTTAATGCTGTTTCCTCACAACGAGACAACTCTGGTTTCAAAACCAACCCAAGTTGCCTGACAAATTTAAGCCACATCTGCTCTTATAATTTCTTGATTAATAGTTTTAATATCGCAGCAGTTACAACACATTTTCTCCAGACTGCAACGACAATGCAACGCTCCAGCTGATGAGCACTACCTCTGCATGACTCAGTCTTTTTTTTACCAGTTTGTGTGTAATG